GCGGCGGCTGGCCGTACGGCGCGCCGCGCGGCGCGCTGCCCTGCGGCGACCAGCCGCCGGCGCCGCCGGCGGCGTAGCCGCGGCCGTTGGCGTGGCCGCCGCCGCCGCCGCCGCCAGGGCCATACCAGGCGCGCGGCTGCCCCTGCCCCGCATGCGCGTGCGCGTGCGCGCCGCCCCCGTTCCCCGCAAGGGACGGAAACTCCGAGCTATACGTCGGCACGTTGTACATCCCCCCGTCGCCGCCGCCGTCCTGCTGCGCGCCGCCGCCATGCCCGCCGCCGCCGCCTGGCGCGAAGCGCGGCTGAAAGCGCCCGAGGCCGCGGCGATAGTCCGGGTCCTGCAACTCCCTCTCCCGGTCACGATACACGGCCTTGCCGCCGGCGTAGCCGTTCGGCACGGGCCCGCCGCCGCCGCCGCCGCCGGGGGCGTAGCCGCCGTGCGGCTGAGGCTGCTGCTGCTGCTGCTGCTGGTAATGCGCGCCGCCCGCGTGGGGCCCCGGGTGGTAGTGGCCGTTGCCGTTTGCCGCCGCGGGCGAGCCGGCGCCAGCACGCGGCGGCGAGTGGTGCTGGTGGTGCGGCTGCTGCTGCTGCTGCTGCTGATCAAACTGCTGCTCGTGCTGCTGCTGGGGGTCGCCGCCGCCGCCGCCGCCGCGGCCCGCGGGGCCGCCCTTGCCAAGCAGACGCTCCCTGGCCGCGTTGTAATCCTCAACCCGCTCTTGGTGGCTCTTGGCGGGACCGCCGCCGCCGTAGCCGCCGCCGTTGGCGGCGCCGTCGCGGCTGAGGCTGCTGCCACTCCAGGGGCGCCGCACCAGGGCTTTCGGGCCGGCGGCGGCGGCGGCGCCGGGGGAGGCCGCAACCGCAGAGGGGATGGGGCCGGGGGAGCGCGGCTTGCAGGGCAGATCTGACAGCTTGACCTGAGCCGGGGACAAGGGTGCCGTCCCGACATTCAGGGCGTGTCCGGGCCGGCTGGCATGGACGGGCTCGCATTTGCTTCCGTGGACAATGCAGGGCGGGCGGCAGACTTGCCACAGCCGGCCGAGCGTCGATTGTTCAGCCGCGACCACGGCGCGACCCGCAGCATGGCTCATGCGCCCTGCACTGGCTGCTGGCCCGCCCTCACGCTGGTGTCCACTGGGCGCATCGCACTGGGCTCATCCCTCTGCCACCTCTGCCCCCCCCCCCCGGGATCACAACAAGCGCGCCCACCTGCGGCACCTCGGCCCATTTGGTGCGCTTGGCCACGACTTGGCCCTGGCCCGCCACGGCTGCCCCGGTGGTGTACGTCTGCAGCTTGTAGTGCTGCGCCACCTTGTGCATCAGCATCCTCTACGGATGAGAAAGAAGGCGGCACCGGCAATGTGATGGGGTGACGCGGCCTGGCGGCAGACACGTGTGCTGCTGGCGGCCGCGGCGACTCGCAGCCGACACCAAGGCGGCCGCCGGCGCGCGGCAGCTACCTCCCCGCTGTTGCATGCAGCTGCAGCAGCGGCGGGGGCTCAATCATGGAGTGCGCGCCTGCAGATCAAGACCATGGGCACAGCATGGGCTGGGCCGGTCAATGCTGCTGGGGGACCAAACAACTGCATCAGATATCTGGGGGCGGACCTGGTAGTTGGAGCCGTTTGGCGGGAACTCCAGCGTCTCCTCCTCGCCCTGGGTCACAAAACTCTCCACCGTGCCCTCCAATTGCAGCACTGCTCAGGGGAGAACGGAGGCCACAGATATGAGCGCGCTCTCTTGTCATCATGCAAGCAGCGCTCGCGGCGCTTTGGCGATCCCGTGCGCCGCAGCTTGGCATGCGGTTGGGCATCCGGATTGAATCGAGCACCGTTATAAATCCCTTATTGGATGGCTGCCGAGACAAGGAGGGGACGACTAATTGTGTGCTTCCCCAGCCGATGGCCTTTCTCACCCAGACTCCTCGCGTCTCCCCCGAGAGCCTGCCGGAGGGCGATGTCACACGTTTCTGCAGAATCCACGGGGCTGGGCGTCGCTGTAGGGACAACCTCCTGCTTCTGCTGCTCATGGGGGCTGCTGCAAGCACCCTCCTCGAGCTGCTGCTGCTGCTGCTCCTGCGCCTCGGGGGCATGTCCGTTGCCTTCACCATCCCCTGCGATGTTGAGATTCTCCAGGGCATCGAGAGCCTCCCAGCTCTCGGCCATTGTTTGATTGGATGTCGCCGGGCGCTCTCTGTGAGGGAGCGGCCCGAAGGCTCGATCAAGCACGGGAGTCGATGTGCTTCACAGGATTACAACTTCGTATACTAGACCACGGAGAAGCGTGCCTTCCACAACTTGTGGACGGCGGTTGTCCAAGCTTCTCGTTGGTTTTCGAGCACGGGAGCCTGAAAGGCACAGCATATACATCTGCATTACAGAGATGTTCAATTATCATGTCGCGGATGACGCTACCATTCCTTGCCAGTCCATACTACCCTATCTCCAAAGCGACCGTCCGTCGCGACAACACATGCCGATGCGCGCGATCGCAGGGCGGCATGCTGCAACGTGACAGGCACGCCTGGCTTTGGCTGATTATACAATTGGCAGGGTGACACTGGAATCTGCCTGGACAACGCACAAGATCACCAGCGTGCACTCTTACGTATACGCAAGAAGCCGGGGCCGCCAGCCGACCACACCAAGCCGACAGCTCACAGCCGTTGCAGAGTACGACCAAGCGCCTTCCCTCGAGCAGAGGGACTCTGATACAATTGTTTTGCAAAGTTGTTTGGGATCCCTTAAGAAGAGGTGCGTGGCAGTTACCACCGCAAGAACTACTAGAACCGTGATCAGCCGCACACAACTACACATCATCATCATCGCTGCCGCCCCCTGAATCTATGCCAGGCAGCGACCCCTCTGAGTCCGAGCTCTCCTCCACCAAAAATGCGGCAGGGGCTGCGTCTGCGGCAGGCGTTGCCAAGGGGGTGGCCACTGCGGGCTGCGAGTTGAATGCCCCAGGCTGCTGCGGCTGCTGCTGCTGCTGCTGCTGCTGCTGCTGCCGCTGGTGCTCCGCATCGTCGTCTTCGTCCTCGTGCTGCTGCTGCTGCTGCTGCTGCTGCTGCTGCTGCTGCTGCTGCTGCTGCTCAGGCTGCTGCTGCTCCTCCTCCTCCTCAACTTCCTCCGCTGGTTTGGGGGCAGAAACGCGCCTGACGCCCCCGTTGGAGGTGGCATCGGCTGGCCGCCTCGAAGACCCTGCTGCAGGCGCAGACGCCTGCACACCATTGAGGTGCTTGTGCACTTGCTTCTGCTTGTGCTTTGAGTATGCACGCTCCCCATTGTCTTGAAGCTGCTGCTGCTGCTGCTGCTGCTGCTGTTCGGCCGCTGCTGTCCTTGCGTGGACTGGCCCGTCTGCAACATCGCCGGGTGTCACCGCCGCAGGCGGCGCCGCCGCCGCAACCTCGGCATCCACCGCGGACCACATCCTCGGCCGAATCAACGGCGGCAGCGCCTCGGCACCCGCGTACCCCCGCACCCCCGCCAGCGGCGCCGCGCGCGGCCGCAGAAGCGTCTCGAGCTGCGTGGCGGCGCCGCGGCACTGCGCGCGCAGCGCGGGGCACGCGTCCGCCGCGCCGGCCGCAAGCAGGCCGAGGGCCTGCGCTAGGTAGGGGTGCCGGCTGGGCAGGGGCGCGAGCAGCGACGCGAGAAGCGCGTCGTAAGCGGCCAGCTGCAGCGCTTTGACGCCCAGCGGCGCGGCCGCGCCGCCGCCAGACACCCCGGGGTCCCGGGACACACGCGCCGCCGCGGCCGCCGCCGAGCGCGACACGTGGTATGCGACTGAGTCAGCGTGGGCCCGCAGCTCTGCAGGCAGCGCCGCGCCGCCGGCGGCGAGCAGCGCGGCGAGCAGCCGCAGCGCCGCGGCCTGCGCTCGGA